GGGGGGGGGGGGGGGGAGGGAGCGATCCAAACTTCTCTCTCTGGGATGAATTCAAAGAGAATATTTCTTCAAACAAACAACATGCTATTAACAGATCTTTTCAATTAGCTGCTTATTTCATGTTTCCTTTAGCTTTTCAAACTGTAGTTTCATGTAGGCATCAAGGGCTCTCTGCCTTGAGACTCGCAAGCATTTTCTGTGAAGTGCTGATTTGCCTCAGCCTCATACAACAGGGGTTAAGAGTGCACAGCACTTTTCAGGATCAAACCACAAACAAACAAAGTGCTTTTAAAATTCTGGTGGGGTGGGAGGAAGGTTGGGAGAGCGATTTGTGTGTATGCATTGATTTCACGCTACGATAGTCCAGCAGGATACAAAGCCTAATTCATAACTTGCCCCTGTAAAAACTCCAAGAAATGCACAAAATCAGTTGATACACCACATAACCTCTTGATGTATGCTGAAAGAAAGGTTTCAAAAGCATATTGTGTCGCATAGATGAGGGAAATCAAATATTAGCCCAAACTCTGGCACCATTTATCCTAGTTTTCTAATTAAAAAAAAGGATTTTCAACTAAAATATTAAGCTTTAAATATCTAGACAAAGAGGATTTCTCTCCAGCCTCCCTTAAGATAGCAGCACCCTACAGAGGATTTAAAACATAATTAATGTAGTCCTGTCAGTTTGTGTTATACAGTACGATAGACAATTAGACTTAGCATGACAACAGCTCTCTAATTGCTTTCATTCCACAGGTTTTATACATACACAGGTGTTTGGTTTTCTCCATGCAGGTTTCCAAAAGCTTTCTGCCTATGCCTGTTGTGTTTCAGTCAGCTGCTTTTAAGTGACAACTCAGTATCAATTTTATGAGGTACCCTATGGGCAGCTACCCTGCTATAATCAAGCATACCTCTCACCCTTCACATGTGCCTGAAACAATTCAGTTGAGACAAATGACCCAAATATGGAACACCTATGTTTTGTTGCACATCACACCAGAAATTACAGTTTGCAGTCTTTTAAACTATTCAATTGTTGCTTAAAGATAATTTTTATTGCTTATTAAATAAATGCAATTCTTTAAAAAGAAAACTAGGAAAACAGAAATGTTACCATATACAATCATAAGATCCCTACCACATGAACACTGACCCTTTAAATACAGCATAGACCTCTACCACTTGAACTAAAGCAAGATGTGTGTCAGCCCCCATGTGGGCCAGCTTTGGGGGAAAAGTGACACACACTGTCAATGAGTTATACAACTATTTGCTACAACAGTAGAATGGTGGGTGATCAGAATTAACTGATTCTGTTCTTGCCCTGGGAGAGGAGCCTAATTTACTGATTGAAGACAGGTTAGCCAAGTACATAGATTTGGTATGTTCATTCTTAAAGGCAGCATAACTCAACCTTGGATCTGTTGACTTACAGACTTGGGTTCTATTCCTGGTTCTACTGTGTGAGAGATCTTGTCCAAATCTCAGTTAATTTTTTTGTGAAATGGGAGAACGATACTTGCCTCTCTCCTTGATAGGCTAAGAGAGTGTCGGAGGATATGCTCAGTAATAATGACTGAAGTGCACAGAAACATGAACAGCAGGCAGTGCAAGAGGTGACCTTAGAACTCATGGTCTCCTAGATCCCAGTACAGTGCAGCCTCCCCTAAGATAAAGACCATTTTTCTTCTGTTTCTGATGCATGGACCATCACAGAGGGTGTTTTCATTTGAATTGTGGTAGGTACCAGAAAATCTGAGCTCCCTGACAAGTCTATAATCAAATACTTACAAATAAGCAAGCAAAATACCCCATGCTTCAATTTGTATTGTGAAGTGTCCAATCTATATTAAAGAGATGTTTGCAGCAACATATTGAAATGTGCAGGTACAACATGAGCATGTGCCACAAAAACCCACCCTAGGGATAATGAGAAACACAGAGGCACTGGTGGAACAATTCCAGTACCACAGAAGTCTCTTATGCTATGAAACACCAAATAGTCTGACTGTGACTAGCTGCTCCAAACTGCTTGACTCTATTTAATAGAGATTATATACAAATTTCTTAGTATTCTGTTTAGACAATAATTATACATGCTCATGCTGGCATAAGATAACATAATTCTATTTAGCCATTTAAAAACAGATTTTGAGAAATGCATTTATTTTGTATTTTTAAGGCAGAATTGGGTCACAATGACAAACATTTTCAAAACAGAGTTGCAATGTTAGTTTCAAATTGCTTACATTTGTGCACGCTATGGCCCTGATTCAGCATAGCACTTAAGCAGGTTAAGTGTTTTGTTGAATTGAAGCTTTTTACTACAACTGCATGTATACACTAGGGCTACGTCTAGACTGCAAGCCTCTTTCGAAAGAGGCTTTTTTTCGAAAAAGCTTCTTTAGAAAAAGAACTTCTAGACTGCAACCTCTTCTTTCAAAAAGTGAGCCGCTTTTTCGAAAGAGAGCACCCAGGCAGTCTGGATGCTCTCTTTCGAAAAAAGGCGTTCTTCCTCATGAAATGAGGAGTACCGCTATCGAAAGAAAAGCCACGTTCTTTCGATTTAATTTCGAAAGAACGCAGCTGTAGTCTAGACGCAGGTGAAGTTTTTTTTAAAAAAAGGCTACTTTTTTTTGAAAAAAAATGCAGTCTAGACACAGCCTAGGTGACTGCACAGGGACATGGCTAGTTGGATACATAGGAATCCATTAAATGAAAGTATAGCTCTCAGAGTTTTCTTTTAACAATTTGGCTCTACAGGGCCCATCCCCAATTTCAGTTACACATGTGCAACTTCACTAAATTTTAGGACCCTGCATCCTGATATCTGTAAAAACAGTTATTTTTGCACCGTTTTTTCTTCTTTCATACTGCCCTCCTATGCTATTTTCCCTTCCTTTTCCATGCTCACTTTTGCAGCTTCCTGTACAAGTCTTTCCTCTCAGCTCTCCAGCCCTTCCTCTTGCATAGCCCAGCTTAGCTCATCCCATGAGAGCAAACAGCTGTAACCCACATCTCTGAGTGGTTCAGGCCTAAAGCATCTGCAAAATTTAGACCCAGGGCAATGTTTACTCCAAGGTCTATTTCTCTAATGTAATTACACCAGCCATGACATGGGCATTGCTAATTTTTAATGTGCATTTAGC